CATCCAAGCATGGAGCCTCGAAGCGGCTTCGATTGGATCAAATGTTTACTCTCTCTCGTTGTCGATTTCTCGCAACTTAGAAAGTTGGGGATTGATGATGGATGTATTGAAAATGACCCAATAATAATAGAGACCCGTGTCCGGGAATGTATAACCCGAGTAGCCCAAGAAGAGTTTCAAGCCCGGAGCTTACCTCCGGGCCCAGAATGATGGACCTTGACTTAGTCTCACGGCCCACCACATCGCTTGGATTTAGTCCCGTAGCCCTCCACGAATTTAGCAGAATTTAGCAGCAATTGGTTGGAATTTCCTTTGCATAAATAGCCTAGTAATTGTCTTGTTAATGGCAGGTTCTAACTTGTGTCCTAAACACTTTCTTGTCTTGTTATTACACGTTTTATACCTCTGTAATAGTGTTACATAGTCAATTAATACAATATCAGTCCCCGTGACTATATTCGTACTCCTATTATCGTTTTAATCCAATAGTTACATTTATTTATTCATTCGGGTTAATTAATCCGGACCCCTGGTTTAATTAATTCCATCACTAGTGCAAACCTATATCTTTTTTTTTTTTTTTTTTGGGTAACGAGGGAAACACACAACCATTATCCGTGAATGTGCACAAACAATAATACAAAAATGATCAAATGCGCATATACTTTTTTTTTTTTGAACAAATCAAACACGCATATATAGTATAATAAAATTCATGTATATACGTACCACCACAAACGCGTATGGCACATCCGCAAAAGCTATGACTTTACACGTTGTACTAATGCAAACGCGTAAATTAATGTTTTAATTAGGCTAACGTGTCATCCCGCACCATGAACTGTATCAGATTTTTCATGCCACACCATGGTCTATCATAACATATATTTCGAGCCACTTACCATTAATTTTTTTTTCGTCTAACATTTTTTACACGTTTCCTACAGGTTATCGGTAATAATATGCTGTCATGGAATTATTTTGCACTAGCCTTCTTGACCGCAATTTTCGCTTCTCACTTAACTACAAAGTCACCAAAAAACAGTGAGCTCGGGTAGTATCCCCTACTGACTCTGTAACCATTGCATCGCACAAATAACAAAAACCATGTCTGGAAATAAAATATATAAACAATATTACAAAATTATTGTTTTAAACAAAGCAATAATACAAAAAATAAATAAAATACATATAATACAAAAAATTTTAAAAAACAATAATTAAAAACAATGGAAGATCAATTACAGACAAAAATAATACGAAAAAATACTTTTCTAAAAAAATTAAACCTTTTTGCATCGACTTAGTCGGAGCAAATACAGCTGGTCTGGAGTGGCATCAACTCGGACAAATCCATAATAAAGAATATAAATGAAAAAATAATAACTTTTTTTCACAGAGATAGAAATAGTTAGAAGATAAATTGTACCTTTAATGCATATTAGTTTGAGCAGCTATTGAACCACAATGATTAAATTGGTGATGAGAAAGTCACCTGCAAGGAAAAAGAGGGATACAATGTAAAATGAAGACTTTAATTTTTTTAGTCATCAACTTATTGTATTTATAGGTAAAAAATATTAGAATTATAAATTTGTAAGATTTTTCAAAAGGAAATTGTATTTATTTATTTGAAGTATTGTCATAATTAATTTATTATATTGATATTCCTAATCAAGTCATTTTATTAATATTCCTAATTAATTTTATTCGTAATTACTTTATAATATTGATATTATTAAATTACCCTTAAGTTTGAGCATGGGAATGAAATATGAGAATTCTGTTATATATATATATATATATATATAGATTATGATTAATACTATAATTATACACATTAATTGCTACACTGGTTACTCATTAAAAAAAATTTATTTTAATATTTTTTTTTCTAAACTCATACTCTTAAGTTTAAGTAAAAACAAAAGTCTTAAGTAAAAAATTCATAAATATCTAGAAATATGTCTAAATACATAATATAGTTCGGTAGTACATTAATTCATACAAATTTAAAAACTAAATTCTTTTAATTTATAAATGTAATTTCCTTAATTATAATTAATAAAATATGAAATACAATTAAAAAATAAAATTATAAATTAGCAAAATGTGTGTTCATAAATATGTAATTTTTTAAAAAAAATACATACATATACTTATGCAGTATATTAATCATACAAAATTAACATGCTAATTTTGTTAACTTCTAAATGTAATTATTTTAAATATAAATCCATCAATATACATTATAATTACGAAAATTATATTATAGAATTTGTCTATATACATATTAATAAATATTATTTTCATATACAACATTTAAATTTTATATAGTTTTTTTTAATATATTTCTAATATAATTTTCTTGGTTATTATTCATATTGTTGGAATTATAATATATATGAAATATAATTAGAAATAAATTAATTTATTTATGAATTTTTTTCCTATAAATTTATTTAAAGAGTTAATTCCAGCAATGGTCTTTCGACTATTGTGATTTTTCAAATTCAATTATCGTCTTTTAATTTGGACGAAATAAGCCATTGACTATCATATTTGTTCCACAATTGGTTCTTTCGTTAACCAACCGTTAAATAGATGTTAGTGAAGTGCTAAAAGAGTCATTTCCTCTGATGGGTTTCTTCTTCATGATGTTGGTGGAGGCCGGGTATGTATCTATTATACTCCAGTGCAGCACTTGCATGAGGGGTAGCTAAATTTTTATTTCGCCAAAAAGATGCTTGATTTAAGGTGATTGCAGTGCTCAGAGCCAGGCTCTCTGCAAGAATTTTCCTTGAATTGCTTTGGTTAACAGCAACCAATAGTCAACCCAAATTTAACTTTAATGTATCGTGTCAAAGATAGCCTGTCGAAGGGTTTCTGATGTTTACCAACTTCCACAATAACTATGCTTCTAATTGGTCTCTATATGCCCATCAGCACTTTCAGATCCTCTTTCTCTTTGTATAAAGAAGCAAAACAATAGAATGTGTGTGTGTGATATGGTACATATGCTAAAATCCTGTTAAATTTATAATCACAAACCTAAATGGAAAGAATTCCACAGAAGCAACAACATCCTTAAACATGTAATAATCAAGTAACATTCAATGAATTCGTTTTGTTGTTTAAAACAATGATAAACACTTCATTAGGTAACTATAAAGTTATACATATTAAATGGAATTCAATTGCTTGTTTTACAATCTCCAAGTTTTCATGATTCCTCAATCCATTCACACCAAAATAGAAGTTTCAAGTAAAAAATTTAAAAAAAGGAGGTGGAGAGTACTGAACTAGCACAAAGATACCTGCTAGGAAATGAAGGCATTAGAACTTCAAGTACATTGATCATAACTGACCCTACACCATCTTCACCAAAAGTCTGTCTCCTTGTTGGACATGGACATGAAAAAATTTGTAACCACTTGTACTCTGGTTAATAAAAGAAAATTATATATAGGCATAGAGGTAAAACAAATTTGAAGCAAAGTATAGGTAAATCACTCTTGGGGAAATCATCTTTTCCCGCGAGGTAAATTTATCCACAAATTATCATATACTCCGTATATATGATTGCATATGTTTTCTTTCATCGCCAGGAAGCAGTAACAATAAGGGGAAGAAAAGACTATTATGGAAAGTACTCTTTTACCCCCTCACTTAACATCTGTCCAAAGCTAATTTCACGGAAGGACCAACAATGGAACAAATCTGATAGTCAAAGACTTATTTCGTCCAAATTAAAAGACGAGGACTAAATTTGAAAAATTTCAATAATTGAAAGACCATAACTGGAATTAACTCTTTATTTAAATGTGTACATGATTAGAAACTATATTAACTATACAAAATTTTAATTTTTATTCAGATATTTGACTAAATATATGAAATTGTAATTATATTATTATATTTTTTTTTTTGAAGGTCAACCAATGGGTTGTATTTATAGATAAGCTGAAATAGCGTCGGGTGGGATATCATCCCAATACATAGCTGTATCATAATGAAAAGCCGAAGCTGCTAAACTATGTGCTAAATAATTTTGCGATCTAGGAATAAAATGAACATGACAATATGTAAACGTAGTAATATGGTTCCTGCATCCATCAGAGAGCATAGCCAATATACGATCTTGCTAATTGATATGGTGGTGTCAAATATTTATGTAGCGTCTGACAATCCGTAAAGAGCTTAACAGATTGTACTCCACGATCACGTAACCAAGATACGGCCTCCTTGCAGGCGTATGCCTCTGGCATTAGTGGGGAGTAACAATGTGGCAATGGCGCGGCGAATGCTGAGATAAAACATCCGTCCTCTCCCATAAGCACTGCTCCTACCGAAGCTTTGTCTGAACCACCGTGGTAGGCTGCATCTACGTAACATCTGTTGTGTTGGCGCTGGAGTCCAAGTTGGTGTGATAGATGCCGCACGACGGTAGAGGGTACTGCGACTTGGTTGGCAACAGCAGCAGATGGGGCAGTGGCATTTGGTGAATTCAAGTGGATTTGGCGCCATGTATTGACAGCAACATGGACCGCAGCCAGCGTTCTCCTTGGGTGAGATAAACAAGCATCCCATACCGCTCCGTTCCGGGCTCTCCATAGATAGTATAGTATTGCAGCTGCGTAGAGAATTCCATCAGAGTCTATAATATTCAACAATTCACCAAACCATTCATAAAAAATATTTGTCATAATGCTCAGTAATGGTAGGTTAGATTGTGCCCAAATAATTTTTGCATAATCATGCATAACATCCTCATTTTCCACACCACACACGGCACACACTGGACTTACATCCACCTTTTATTATATTATTTATTCTAACATATTTTATTTTTTTAATTTTTTATTTAAATTCATACTAACATAATTTATTTCGTGAATCCAAAACACTATTTTATTAATATCATGACAACATTAGTCGCAAATGTAATTCGTAAAAACTTTAGGTCCGCCCTAGGTAAAATTATCTCAAAAAGTAAAGAGAGGGAGGGAAGCAGAGCTAGGAGGGAAACCTAAATAAATAAAAACATACAAAAAATTTCTCCATATATACATCCATCCCCCTTACACAACAGTGACACCACTCGCTTCACGAGAGGGAAAAAATGGCGAAAAGAAAGACCAGAGAAGAAGAAGAAGAAAAAGAGTCGAAGAATGAAGCGGCTGAAGAGTACGAGCAGCACAGAGCTCAAAGGATCAAAGAGAACATGGATCGAATGAAGAAACTGGGCCTGCTTGAACTATCCAAGAAGCTCAAACCTGAAATTCCCCATCCAAAAGGGTCTGATAAGCATAAACCCCCTTCTCACAAGAAGCCGCCCTCTACCGATGACCCCCCTCGACGCTCCTCTAGGTACTCAAACCTTCAAACCCCCCTCATTTCATACTCGACATTTCGTTTGTTTGTTTGTTTTCGATGTTTTAATTATATTTGTATTCTGATTTATGGGTTTAAGATTGTTCTTATAAACTATGACTCTTGTGAATGTTTATAATTCTGTGGAATTAATTCAACATGGGGTTTAATTAATTTATTTATTTTGATTTTTGAATGTTTAAGGTTGAAGAGTATGAATCCAGTGAATTATTCAGAACGTAGAGAAGCTAGTAAAGGGGGGAAAGTGGCAAAGGATGTTGAGATTTGCATAGCAGAGGGTGAAAAACCAGAATTGTATACAAAAGAGCATGAAAGGGTATTGGGTGATTCCAAGGAGAGTTGGAGTTTGTATGAGGATGGGTATGATGAAGATGGGCAGCGCATTTATGATCCAGATTTTGGGAAGAGTTGCCATCAGTGCAGGTAGGTACATACATGAGTGTTGAATGTATGTTGATAATGTTAAAGATAATTAGTCTGTTTGCCTGTTCATAATTTATGGAAAATTCTTCTGTTACTTATATTGTTCAAATATATTACCTTCTGCAGACAGAAAACTCTAGGTCTACACACTGAATGCAGCAAATGCAAGTCATTTCAAGGGCAATTTTGTGGAGATTGCCTATATATGAGGTAACAAAGGGAAGTATAAACAGGTTACTTTGTTAATGTTTATAATATAATCCAGTTATTAAAATCCTTGATCACCCGTCTCCCTGCATTTGTGCTTGCCTCTTTGTTTTCGGTAAGGTATGGAGTTCATTTTTCTCAATGTGCAATTTCTGGAATCACAAATAAATGTATTTGTCACTATGGGTTTGAATTTAAAGCGTTTTTCTCTTTGTTTTCACTACTACAAGTCTACGACAACGTTATGAACAATGTTTTGTGCTTTTATCTTGAAAAGTATGAAGGCATAATGCTGTCTAATCTAGTATTCATCTACACTAGAAATGATTCCAAGTCTTTGAGGATATATTTCCTAGCCTGCTTCCAAGTCATTCTACTGTTACCTGATGTAATAGGTATGGGGAGAATGTGATAGAAGTAAATGAAAATCCTAGCTGGATTTGCCCTGGCTGCCGAGATATATGCAACTGTAGTCGTTGTAGACGGGTAAAAGGATGGGCTCCCACAGGTGCAATTTATAAAAAGGTAATTTTTTTTTTTTTTTTCTGGAAAAATTTCCTTTTCTCGATCTTTCCTGGTTGTAGTGATCTCTGTAGTGGTATAATAAAATTTCAGGTGTTGATCCTTGGTTACAAATCTGTTGCGCATTATCTTATTATGACCTTCATGCAAAGAGAGAAGGAAGAAGCGGGTGATGAAAACCACCACCCATCTTCAATCAAGAGTTCAGAGCCATCTGATTATGACTTAGCTGATGATGCAATTGTAGTTTCTGATGAATCATACGACAAAAATGAGGTGCTTGAAAAAGAAAAGCAACAACTAGATGATGATGAAGAAGAAGAAGAAGAAGATGAAAGTGAAGATGCTAATGCTTCTGCTAACGATTCTGAGTGATCAACTAATCATGAGGGCAAGCTGCACCTGTTCTTGGAAAATTTTGGTAATTGACTTTAGTAACGAATATGTGATCCCAGATTTTGCTTGCATTACACGCATGTACGTGAGACAATGCTCAATCCTCACAATGTTCATTAAGATACCAACATATGCATGGAGCTGATGTACAATATTTTTTGGCACGTTGGAGAGAAAAGAAGTTTTTGTGGAGTATTAAGATTCATCCTGCATTGCAATGCTTGTTTACATTTTGAGTTAATACTAGTTTGGGTTCCTTGACTATTCACATTTACTTAAGTAGGATCTGTTTAAAATTTTACTAAATTAAATCTCTTGAATAATACAGTAAAACGTTATCTAAATAGGTCTTCTGTCGTTTGTGGACGGTTAAATCTAAGGGTGAATTTGTCTTTTCATTCTCTGTTTTGGTTGATCGAATCCACCATTCTTTGTTTTCTTGTTAGGATACATTTATCCAACGCTATATGGATGGAAAAGGTAACGGAGTATCTATATAGTTAAATCTTTTGTTTAAAAGTAAATGTCAATAGTCAATGAATTTCAATTAGTATTAACTCTTTACATTTTATATGTTCTCAAGCCTGAGGAATATTTGGAAGCAATTTTTTTTTTTTTTTTTTTTTTTTTTTTTTTTTTTTTTGTAGATGAACAAAATGTATAGTTTTAATATACTAAATGTATATCATTTTTGTACTGAATGTACATTATTTGATGTACAAAATAATGTACATTTAATATATTAAAATTGTATTTTTTATTTACAGTCCACACAGCTATGTGGACTATAGTTCATGGAATAATAATTGTTGTCTGCAAATTATATCATGGATTATGGTTCACATTATAATGTGGACCATTGATCAATATTCATTGTTTTGTTTATTTTTAATATACTAATTTTTTTTTTAAAATAATATATAAAAAATAAACTTTCAGCATACTAAAAATAAATATTCAATATATTAAAAATGAATCTTATACAATTGGTTCACCTTGTAAGGTGGGACAAATTATTGTGGACTATGAATAAATGTACATTTTTAATATACTAAATATACATTAGTTGGTCAGATGACACCCGGGTTGGACTCCCATATGGGATGTTGTAAGTTCGAGCTTCAGTGGATGCGTTATTGGCTCTTTGTGCTTTAGTAGGTTGAGAAAGTAGAAGTAGTTATGAACAGATACTACATTGCAATAGTCAGTAGCATTCAACAAAAAAAATATACATTAGTTTGTAGTATACTAAATAATGCACCTTTAAAAAAATGAACATTTATATTAAAAATGTACCTTTAATATAATAAAAATGTATCTTATTTTAGTGGTCCATTGACCATGGTCCATGGTATTATGAGTAAGGTATGGCTCATGATATAGTGATTCTTTTTGGCAAATTTTACTGTGGACCGTGGTCTATGTAGCAGCGTGAATCATGAAGTATGTTTCATTTTAATTGCATTTTAGTTTCATTTGACAATATTACTATGTTTTTTAGTTTCATTTTACCTCCACACTAGTTTCATTATAGCAATACTAAAATATCATTTTATTACATGAGCTCTATTTTTTAGTTCCATTTTTCACACTAGTTTAATTTTAGCAACACTAAAAAACCATTTTAACTGTACTACGATGTCATTGATAATAGTATTGGACCATGGTCCACATAGCGTCATAGCGCAAATTATGCTGTGGACTCGTGTCCACAATGGATTGTGAACACGAGTCTAAAACGACGTCATTTTCAGGAAAAACGCGGCATTCCAGTTTTAAAAAAAAAAAATTGATTTTGTTTCGTCGTAATGGCGTTAACGGCGTTATTCGGTTGTGGCATTATGAATGTACAGTTATGGAATTATGAATGTATAGTTATGGAATTATGAATGTACGTTATGAAATTATGAACACAGAGCTCTGACATTATGAACTTACAATTATGAACATACAGTGATAAAATTATGAACATAGAGCTTCGAAAATTATGAATGTACAGTTATGGAATTATGAGTGTACAGTTATGGAATTATGAATGTAAGTTATGAAATTATGAACACAAAGCTCTGACATTATGAAGATACAGTGATAAAATTATGAACATTGAGCTTCAAAAATTGGTCAAAGTACCTATGAAGTCCCTCTACTATAGTGTTTTGTTCAATTTAATCCTTATACCTTTATTTAGTTCAATTTAGTCCCTCTACTTTATAAAGTGGTAAAACTAAGGACAATTGTCTAAATCTCATTAGGAACATGGTTGTAATTATTTATTTTGGACATACTAATTTAATATGTTGGTGGTTAAAATAATTAATTTTCAAATATTTATAAAGCAATATATAAGTGGGAATATAAATATCGCCAGCGCCACGTAACATAAATTAACAGTAATATTAACATTGTTAACTATTGTCCTTAATTGCACCACTTTTGAATGTACAGGGACTAAATTGAACAAATTAAAAGTATAAGGACTAAATTGAACAAAACACTATAGTATAGGGACCTCGAAGGTACTTTGACCTCAAAAATTATGAATGTACAGTTATGGAATTATGAGTGTACAGTTATTGAATTATGAACACAGAGCTCTGACATTATGAACTTACGATATGAACATATAGCTCTAAAATTGTGAACATAGAGCTCTAAAATTGTGAACATAGAACTTCGAAAATTATGAATTTACAATTATTGAATTATGAATGTACAGTTACGGAAGTATGAATGTACAGTTATGGAAGTATGAATATATAGTTATGGAATTATGAACATAAAGCTCTGAATTATGAACTTACAATTATGAACATATAGTGATAAAATTATGAACATATACTTATATAACGAAGCGGTATGAAATTTAAAAAAAAAAAAAAAGATAACAGTGCCACTAACGACACCGTTACCGTGTCCATAATGCATTGTGGACACGGATCCATAGCATAACGATTGGCGACTTGGCGTCATAGTGATATGATCCATTATATTGTATAACTGGGCCTTTCAATGCACTATATCAGGTTGAAGTCAGTAGAGAACATTAAACAATAGATAAAGAGTATCCACAAAATTCCCATACAAATGGAATATGGCAAAGTATTGAAGGCTGAGAATATATATATAGAAGAGTAGAGTAGCAGCCCATCCAAAAAGCAAGAAAATGAAGAGAGCCTCCCTCCCTCCCTCAACATGAAAGCTTAAGGTTAAACCTTCTAGTCTCAACTCCAGTCCCCAATTATGATGAAATTGGAAACTATCTGAAAATTTGTTCATTCATTACTCTCCTCATGCTCCGGTATTACAAGTTGTCCCAGGGCTTCTCTCAAATTGAGTGTGTTTCGCATGGTTCTTCTTCCGACGCCCCCATTGCCATTCCTCATCATTGCTGCAAATTCTCCATAGTCTATTTGCCCGTCCTGGAAGAAGGTGGGTGGTTAGGTTATACTATAGCTATAGTATGTCCAAAATTATAATTATAACAAACTGCTTGGCTTACGTTATCTTGATCAATTTCTCTGATCATTTCATCAAGGTTAAGCTCGCTTAGACCAAAGTCTTTGCAGGCTTGCTGAAGCTCATCGATGGTTATGTAACCACTACTATCTCTATCAAAGAAAGAGAAGGCGGACATTAGATTTTCTTCTCTTTCTAGCTTGTTCAAGTGTAGGGTAGCAGCAAGAAACTCTCCGTAGTCTATTGTCCCGCTGTTGTCAACGTCTGCCTGTCACTCAAATACACCAACAATCAACAAAAGCACGAGAAGAAAAACAAGTAAGAAGTGACTGAGGAGAATCAAATCAATCATACAGCATCCATAAGATCCTTGATCTCCGATTCCATTAATTCAGATCCAACTCGTCTTAATCCCTCTTTCAGCTCATCAAAGGTTATAGTTCCACTGTTGTCTGTATCAATCATTTTGAACAGCTGCTTCAGACCACCAATCTCCTCTTCAGATAGCCTCTCAGCGATCACCTACTTAATCACACAAAACCACTCAAATCCCAAACCCACACAACTTTTCTATACAAAATGTCATCTGAAAGTTAAGTCGATACCAGTGAAATTTAAGAGTTTAATAATAATATACAACAGCTAATATTGGGAGCTACCTCCCATTAGCAACAACAGCTCTTTCCAGTAGAACAGCGGTTGGGTTTGTACTGTTGAGCATATAACCATTAATGTGCAATCAAACTATCAACTTAGGCTTTTAGTTCAGATGGAGCACATACTTCAATTTGGTATCAGAGCCAGACTAAAAGTCATGGGTTCGGCCCGCACGCGTGAGAGGACCAACTAAAATCCCGTTGTTACTGATCTATGATATATCATTCCTTATTAATGAAGGTTGCAACATCTTATGTTATAGTAGAGAATGATGGTCATAGGTATCAAATCAACTTTCACCAAATGGTCATGAATCAATTTTCACATTTAAAAGCTGAAATTTTAAGTTGTAGTTTATTAAATGTCGTTTGTGGTAGGAGACTTTAAAAACACAAGGTACAGAAAAGATATATTCAAGTAAAAGCATGCATGACAATCTTACACGTAAAGCCATCTTTTTGAGTTTATTCATTGCAGAGAACTGTTTCAAGCGTGAAAGAACTGCAGAGTCAAGAGGCTTGTCGGGGGCCATACTGTCATCCACAATCCAAGGGTGGCCTGGAAATCAGAGAAAACGGATTGGTGATATTATAATATAAGATCATTTTAAAATCAAATTTAATGAACATATTATCAAGTTTTCATAAATTTCAAAAACAGAACCAAGCATGTCCCTCTCGCTAGCTATTTAAACTCATCAACAGGACTCACATAAGACTTCATGGGCTGTCAACCTCCTTTTCGGATTCCGGTCAAGCATTTTACGAATCAAATCTTTGGCACTATCTGAAATTCCAGGCCATGGTTCAGATTCCAAATCTAGTTTCCCTTGCAATATCTGGCGGAAAATCCCCACATCAGTTTCTGGAGTAGAGGAACAGCAACAGCAACAGCAGAGATGTGAGTCGTCAAGGGTATAGAAAAAAAAAAGGAATTCTATAAATAGGCATTTTGTTGGCCTTCAACCAGTGACAGAGACACGAAACTTGCAGTCAAATACCTGCCCAGAAAGGAGGGACACCACTTAGTAATATGTACAAGATAACCCCAGCACTCCATACATCTGATTCAGGTCCATAATGCTTGCACAGAACCTCTGGTGCCACATAGTAGGGGCTTCCAACTACATCAGAGAATGTTTCCCCTAAGCATAACAAAACGTAGATCACACCATATTAGAATTAAAATTGAAGTTAGCATGACTAAAAAGATAGCGCCTTTAAATTTCAGTGACATAAATGGTCCTGGATTTCTTTACAGAGGGAGAGAGATGTTTAGAATGTTACTAATGAAATTATGTTAGGAAGTTGAAATACATAAGTTAGCAGCACCATGAAGATGGAGAGAGCTTGCTTCACTTCAAGAATTGATTTATTACATTTGGGAGAAGAGACCAAGATTAGAAACTCCACAGCAGCAGTGTGGGGATTATATGCTCAAAGTGGGCAGATCCCTAGTGCCCACCGGCATTTGTCCTGTCTGCCAAGCCACAGAGTTACCATGATTTATATATTTCCAAATGCTCTGTCGGGCTGGAATGGGGTCTAGGATTTATATCTTTCCAAATACTCTGTCGGGCTGGAATGGGGTCTAGATTGGGGATTCAACCTTTTGGGAGATGAAGAGTATTCAAAACCCCAAAATCATAATGGCAACACACCAACTATTAAATAACCACAGTGGATCAAAACAAGAGAACTACACTTTACCCCAAAATCATAATGGCAACACACCAACTATTAAATAACCACAGTGGATCAAAACAAGAGAACTACACTTTACCCCAAAATCATAATGGCAACACACCAACTATTAAATAACCACAGTGGATCAAAACAAGAGAACTACACTTTTTGAATGCTACTATTAAATAACCACAGTGGATCAAAACAAGAGAACTACACTTTTTGAATGCTACTGACTCCGTAGTATTTGTTCAAACATACTTTCTCAACCTAATGAAGGTTACATAGAGTCAACAACGCCTCCACTAAGGCTCGATCTCATGACTTCCCACATGGGAGAGATCACTACCTGCCATTTGAGCACAAAGTGCTTGGCAACAAGAGAACTACATAACTAACTAATTATTGAGCAATTTTGCACACCCAACAATTTTAAGAGTTTGCTAAAATGAAAATGAAAATCATAAAAAAAGCCACACTTGACTCAACCACCCTTCAATAATTTCCTAGTAACATCAGAAAAAGATGCCCAAACCACAAATTATTCACACCATCCAACAAAAAAAAAAAAACTCACTTTAAAGTAAAGAATCTGAATCTATAAGAACAATGATCCAGAGAAAAAGAAGAAGCAGTTGTTAATCAAAAAGAGAAACAAAAGCTACACAAATTAACTACCAGAGGGTTGAAGAGAGCAAACCAGGTTTATAGAAAACAGAAAGACCAAAATCAGTGGCCTTGAGAGCAGCATCCTCGTTGGAGCTAAGGAACAAGAAGTTCTCTGGCTTGAGATCTCTATGCATTACCCCCAAAGAGTGGCAAGCCTCGACGACCCCAACAATGGTCTTGATTAGCTTAGCAGCCTCTCTCTCGCTGTATTGCCCTTTCTCCACAATCCTATCAAACAACTCCCCACCCGCGCACAGCTCCATGACTATGTGCACATTCACCGCATCCTCATAGGTGCCCTTTATCCTCACCACATTTGGGTGCTCAGATAAATGGTGCATTATCTGAATCTCCCTCCACACATCCTCATAGTCCTCCTTGCAGAACAGCTTCTTCTTGGGGATGCTCTTGCAGGCATAGAGGTTTCCCGAGGCGTTCTCCGTGCATTGATAGGTTGTACCAAACTGCCCTTGCCCGAGTTTCTTGCCCATGGTGTACAACTGGTGAAGGGTCTGGGTCCTGTAAGGGAGGACCCATGTGGATTTGGTGGGGGTTGGATTACTGGCTAACGCCGATGATTTCAGTGATGAAGAAGTGGGTTTCGAGATTGGATTTGGAGGGTCCGGTGAGGAAGCCATCTCTGATCCTTCAATCAATCAACAAAATCTCTCTCTGCTCGATCTTCTTCCTTGATGTCTCTCAAGAATCAAGATTTTTCTCTCCCTATATTCTCTCCTGCATTTCTTTCCGTGAAGGATGGTCTCTGTCTTTGACTCGAAAAATGGTTTTGCTGATTAGGAAACACCACCTTTTCAGCTGTCAATGGAAGTGAGACCCAGTAAGCAAACGCGGGTTCTCCTAAAGTTGAAAATCAACATTTCGGATTGGATAAAATTTTGTCGCAAAAATGTCAAATAGCTCATTCTATTATTTTAAAATGCTCAATTAATTCATTGTTCTAAATTAAAATTTAATTGGCCACAAATTAAGATTTAATTGGTCACATTTAATTTTAAAATTATGGTCATTAACATTTTCTCCTAGTTTTCATCATGATGCTGACATGGAATTTAAATAAAAATAATTTGATAACTTGTTTCATTGTTGACTCAGTTAAATTCAGAGAAAATTGCTACTCGCTCCTTCCTCATCCTCACCACCATTATCACGGCTGCCGATATGAAAACTGAAAATTGTTTGTTGCCTCCAACTTATTACTTGTGTGCCCAAGTAATCTCACAATATCTATAGTATAGAGTTGTTGCTGAAACTTTCTATGGTTGTATAATATTCATATGCCTATTATCATACCCTTTCATGTTTTGCTATAGAGCTCATTGGCATCCCTCCTGGAACTCTTCACCGCCTAATTCCTGAACATGCTCGGAGGCAGAACTTATTCATAGCATTGCGTTCCTAGTCACAATTTGGAATTTCATTTCTCCCGTTTGCTTTAGCTGTCTCGGTTGGGCGTGCATCAACTGTAAAATGTCCTATAATCTAAGAAGTGTTTGAAACCAAATTTTTCAGGAAACTTTGAGCTGGTCGGACAGCCAATGAGTGCATCTATTCTGTTCATTTTGGATGTGTAGAGTGCCGATAATGCTATCACTCACCAACCTTTCATAAGCACACAAGGGATAGCCTAAATGGTAGTGCAAAGCCAAGAGAAGCTACTTTTTGTTTTAAGATTGGCAGCCGCGATGATGGTGGTGAGGATGAGGAGGGAGAGAGTATAGGTTTTCTCTGGGTTTGAATGAGTCAACAATGAAACAAATCATCAAATGATTTTTATTTGGAAGGGTTACTTGATGGAAACTTGGAGAAAATGCTAAGCAAACACAATTTTAAATGTAAATATGGTCAATTAGATCTTATTTTAGAACAAAGGATTAATTAAGCACTTGTGAGTGGTAGATGGGGTTATTTAACACTTTTGTCCAAAAAAAAAAAAAACTCCGTAGTTAATTACATATTTTCCTAGGGATGACAATAGGTCGGGGAGGGCTACATCCATCACCCGATCCACCTTATATTTTCTCCACCCACCCCCACCTCCAACCCGCATCGGGTGGACTTTTTCAGAACCCACCCCCACCCCCACCGGGTGCGGGTGCCCACTACGGGTACCCACCACTTATCATCTTATTATGTTCTTCAAAAAATAATATTTAAATTATTTACACATAATAAAAAAAATCCATTAGTGATACTAAAACATAAATAATGGAAATATTTAAATATAATAACTAAATTGTTAATTTTTAAAAATAAACTTAATAGTTTTGATATAAAAAATAGTAAAAAGATACACGAAGTTATATAAACTATTATAAATAACTACATACTAGTACTTATTTTACTATTATATATATATATATATATATATACACACACACATGGTGGGTCGGGTGGGGTTCTAGGCGGGTCTTGTACATAGAATCCGAATCCAACCCGACCCACCGCGGGTTTTCTTTTTTAAGACCCACCCCCGACCCACCACCCACCATCACCCAAAAAAATCCGATCAATGCCGGGTGGATTCGGGTGGATATCTACGGGTCGGATTGAAATTGCCATCCCTATATTTTCCCTTTCTACTATTTTCATTTATTTTTAATAAATAAGAAACTTATACTCATTATTTGAGAATATGTATGAGACAAATTTTATTTTTGTGTAATAACTCATAAATTATAAATACAAAATAGAAGTAAATCAAACTAAATAGATCTTGTACGACGGACTCGATAAATCGAAAAGATATTTTCACTCATCTTTCATTATAGATTTCAAAATTAATTAGATTTAATGTCGAATAATTTATTTTTGTTAAATTTAATCTTTCATTAACTATTTTGTAAAAAAAAAAATATTTTAACAAAATAATGTCAAAAAATCTTCTATGAGACTGTAACAACTCAAAAATCTTTCTTCCAAATTAAGTCAATTTTATAAAAACTAGTCAAAATATTTTTCCAATATTTTGTTCCTAAGTTGACTAGTGGCTTTTACAAATAATGTATTTATTCAAAAACTCTTATGGTGAATAAATAAATACAAAAGCCTATTCATGTAACACCCCCTAATTTCCATGCTAAATTAAGCCTTAACCAGTAACTAATCAAAACATCAAACACAACGGAAGACTGAAAAAGGATTATATAAACTGGAAAGGAAAGTGTGCTATGCCACGCTCGCCAAAGGTGAACGCACAGGCCAACATCTGCATGATTCATAATCTAAAATTCATACATAACCAAAGTACTAAAGTCTATCCTTGGCACACAGGCCACAACAACAAAACATGGGAACTACACTAGCAGGTTCTAGACCGCGCTCACGTCTACACATCACATGAAAGAAACACATAAAAGAATGGGATGACTCCCGGTCAGCGAATAATGCTGGTAACCCACCAATACATGTGAAATATCATACATAGATAGGATATACGTATGTAAAATCATTTGCGAAACGGAATATACATATATATGTTCAAAACCAAGAGCAGAAGTCAACACAAGACTCTAAGCACTCACAACAAGGTAAGGGAACACATCCCAAGACCACACGAGATACAACGACTCACAAGGACGGCTCAAGGTATAATCTACCATCACACAGTAGATTAACACCCGACATGCATAACACAAGAGAATAAGGACACAACCAATGACAACACATGCCTAGGCAACACATGCCTTTGTGACTACACACGTCACAAGAAGACAAACACACAACAACGGCTACACAAGCCTTCGTGACAACACATGTCACAAATTGATATGCCTTCCTTATGCTCGGTTCCAACCTTATGGCTACCCCCACCTTATGTCTAGTTCCAACCTTTACCTCCAGGACCCCTGTACACCAAGTCCAACCTTATTCCTCAGAGGACCGTCGTCCCCTCTCCGACAAACCACCAACGAAATTCCACCAATTCATAGTACACAAGGTACCGATCACACACACGGCGACACACGCTTTCCCAAAATACGTGAACCTGACACACATGTCACAAACTCCATAATCACGTCATGGCCACCACGAGGACCACTGCCGTACCTTGGTGATTAAGGCCCCATAAATCGAAATCGTGCAATCCAGGTACAGCCACACACACATCACACCACAACAGGAATCAATCAACGGATCACAACGAAGATATGAAACCATACTCAATCAAGGAATGGATCACAGTCCAACAACAACGATGATTAACACAAGTCATCATCAACAATAGGAAGGTACAAACAACACACACACTAGCATTTAAACACCGAACTAGCATGCTTATCAAACGGGTAAACCAAACATAGTTCCGAAGAACGCAAAAGACTCATCACGGTTCAATGAATCACAATGTTGAACACTTAGCACGATTCAAGACACCAAAACCTACATGGTTTCCTACCATATAGTTCTAGACATACGAAACATCAAGAAGACACTCAAATAGTTCCACAAAAGAACATCGGAAAGTCAAAAAACCAAATACCGAGTCAAAAGAATCATGGGGAAAAAATCACCAAACAACACCATATACGTACCCGCGGGTAGAGCCACAGGTAGACCTCCACCCGTGGTTCCGCCCGCGGGAACCACTCCCACGAGGCCTTGTACCCCGCGGGTGGGGCGGCGGGTAGGCCACTGCCCGCCGTTCCGTCCGCGGGTACACCAACCTGTACCATAATATCCCTTCGGAGATTTTCAACACCAAGCTCAAATTCAAGTCCAAAACATGCCAAATCTCACCCAATACAATAAAATGACTTGAATCAAAGGAATAGCCAAGCAATGGCATACAAGAACCCTAATAACAAGCTTTAGATATGCGTTTTCACAAGACAATGCATAAACACTCACATTTCATAGCAAAATCACATGTAGAATCCAAGAAATCATCACATAGGTAAGAAAAATAGATTTTGTAGAGCATGTGTTACCTCTTGTAGACAAAAACCTTCACTTAACACTTCACCAAGCTCCTACTAAGGCTCACTTTCCAAACTCACTTCAAGAACACACCAAAAGATCATAAAGATTCTATCTTTAAGAAAAGAGACCTTAGAAAACACTAAAAACACAAGATGGACATAGATCTTACCCTCCTAGATGCTTAAATGTATGAAAGGTAGAATCTTGGAGACAACCTTTGAAGATTTGACAAAGCTCTAACTTGGCTTGGAAGAAAAACTATCTAACTTTTAGAGAGAAGGGAGAGCTCAAGTTTGGGAAGTGTAAGGAGAAAGAATGAGGAGTGTCTACTAGGTTAGCTTGCATTAATAACACAAAGTGAAATATCATGAATACCCTTACTAAAATGAAGAGGTGTAAGGGAACAAGGGAACAACTCTCAAAGCTTAAGGTACAACCTTGATTTTGGGTTGACTAGTCAATTACTAGTCCCCGACTATTGAATTTTCAGGAATTTAAGAAATTAAATTACCAATTGGTTTAGGATTAATTACTTAATTAATCCCTTAATCGAATTTGGATTACGGGGTGTCACAATTCATGTGTCTTAATTTTTGAGACTCAATTTGGAAAAAATATTCTTTTATCCAAAAGTCAACCCAAAAGTTAATCTGAGAGGAACATGTGAACCTGATAGTCAAGTTTTCTTTCAAAACTTGATTTCAAAATAAACCTATCTTATTTATATATTTGTTATATTGTATTACAGTCCGAATTTAACCCAACTTTTGACCCAAAATTATAACCAAAAGTTCGAAACCCAAATTCCCCAATTTACCCTCACTTTGGTGTGAAAGCTAGCTGATTTTATGGCCTAGAGTTTTGTGCCCTAGGTATAAATATTTACTATTCCATTGTTT